TTTTAACTTTGTGTCAGTACGTCATAAATAGAACAAGACATCAGTTTAATGTCGGGTTTTGTCGTGTCGCGTCTCATCCAGTGTACACAGCATCACTGATTATAATGGTTCTACTGTATTTTACAGCTTGCGTCCGGTGTAGACATGGTCTTTAATGTCGTTGGTGAGGAAGAAAGCCTGTGTGTGTCCTATGCCTTAGCAGACAGCATGAAACCCACAAAAAATAAATAAATAACAGAGAGAAAATAATTATAATATTCTCTCTATGCTATTTTTCAATGTTTCAAGTGATGCAGGTGTATATTCCCCCTGCAGGTTTTATCAATTAAAAACAAGCATTAATTTTTCATAACATTTAGTGAAATTATTTGGTACTCTGATGTGGGATGGGGATTCGGGAAAGATTTTTTAATAAGTTTAAAGGGGCGCGCGACCAAAAAAGTTTGAGAACCACTGGTCTAAAGTTAACAGACAGTGTTTAGTGCAGTCCACATGTTTACATGTGTTTATTACAGTGACTTTGAATTACCTAAAGTAGTGTGGTAAAGCAACAGATTTGTTTTTATATTTCTGCAATATACTTTAGTTTGTGTGATTTGTAACTGACTTTCATATTAATGTTTACACCAGGCTTATTTGTCAGTGCTTTTGGTCATAATTATTACGTTTACAAGGTTGAAGTTCAACAAATCAATCAATATACTACTGTGATTGTAGTTGTTAAATAAAAATGTCATTCATATAAATTCATGCATCACCTAATTTCATCGTAACATATAGGCCTGGCCTACAGAAACGAACATTTATGTTTAATCTATCTAATAGTGTGTTGGTCATACTATACAATGATTTATAGCTTGTCTTTGTTGAATAATACAGAACATAAAGAGCTTTAAAAAAATAATTGCATATTAAAATCGCAAATCGCAATATTGGTTAAAAAAATTATAATAAAATTTGCAATTAGATTATTTTCCTAAATCGTTCAGCCTTAGTGTAGGATGGCCGAACTTAAGGAGCTTCCCCTGGAACTTACGCGATCGGCAACTGGCTGTTTTTTGTCTTATTGCAGCTCGTCTCTGTTCTGGACTTGCACAAACTGTGTTACAACTAGGGATGCACGATATATCGGCCACCATATCGGTATCGGCCCATATCGGCTCATTTTTTCTGTTATCGGTATCGGCCTGATAAGAAAATTTGGCCGATATCTTAAAGCCGATAAATAATGCATTATTTCCTTCAGAGACACTTCAGATGCGCGCTGTTCGTTTGCAGCCTTTTGTGCAATTGTACATTGTAATATTGTGTTTATTTGATCATTTTCCAAAATGTTATTTATGTGAAAATATGAAGTCTGTAAACGCCCGTTAATACAGGCCAGAGACGTTGAAGACGGGCGCACAGAGAAAAATACTATAGCAGGCAGATCACTCACTGTTCATTATGCTCGAACTATTGGAAGAAAATCCTCAATACTGATTTGGGAGTTTATATTAATGTTTCTGAGGGGAACTGACTGTCTTCAGAAAAGTTTACGCGGTATTTTTTTAATCTCGTCTCTATAGTTCATATTAAAGCAGTGTTTCAGCGCAGTGCTGCTTTGTTTACAGCGGTAACCAAGGAAACACTGTATCTGGTGTTCCATGAGCGCCTCCTGCTGTCAGAGAGTGAATCTGCATCTCATTCAGAGCATCTGCTGTTTGTTTCGTTCAGGCTTGTAGTATAATTTCACAAATCTAGTCACAACATTCTGGTTTTGCTTCAAATTGGGTTATTATTAAATCAAATTAGGTGTATGAAATTATATAAAATGATATGTATTATATAACAAATTAAACAACAGAGCCCGAAAGGGGAACAGAGTCACGTGACAGACACAGTGATGAAGCTGGTATGTGTTTGCAGTACACAAGCCACGGTTAAGACAGCTGACTCCACACTGTGATGTGACACTCTCTCTCTCACGATGCGCAAAACTCCGCATTTGAACAGTCAATAGCAAATACTTAAACTAATAACAAAACAGTAGCTGATTCAGAAGCGCCAGATTGTCATAGCAAAGTCAGAATTACCTCCTCTCCTAGGTTCACAAAACGATCGTCCATAAAATGCATTGCTGTTCTGTTGTAAGTAATCTTAAAGATTCCTAAATGCATCTATTTTCGGAATGCCAAATAAAGTGCTTTTGTTTTTGCCTAGAAACACACAGCGTCTCCCTGACATGCTGCTTCAACACTAACTGCATTACTGAAACCACGCCTTCTTTCTTTGTGTGCACATTTGGGCGGCATTATGCAAATATTTCCACATAGTGAGGTAGATATGTGGGGGCGTGTTAGAACAAACCGTTTTAGGGGGGCGTGGCAGAGCCTTAACTTTGATAAAGAATATCTCTTAGGTTTTGAGACTTTAGTCTTTGTAACTTCAGGGATCTTATCTATGCACAATCAGCTTGTAACACTCCAAAGAGAAAGGAAAACTTGAAATCGCATCATATGACCCCTTTAACATTAAGGTTACACTTTACAATAAGGTTCCATTAGTTAATGTATTAACTATCATGAACGAACAATGAACAATACATTACAGTATTTATTCATCTTTCTTAATGTTAGTTAATGATAATACAGTTGTTCACTGTTAGTTCGTGTTAATTCAGAGTGCATTAACTGTTAACAAACACAACTGTTGATTTTAATAATGCATTAGTAAATGTTGAAATTAACATTAAGATTAATAAATGCTGAAGAACTATTGTTCATTCTTAGTTCACGTTAACTAATTAACCTTATTGTAAAGTGTTACCAATATTAATATAAATTCTGTCCAGCTTTATTGTGTTACTTTCAGTAAAAGTGTGGTTATTTTATTGGCTTGTGTTTTTTTTAATTATTGAGTTAAATTAAAAAGTCTTACAAAATAACTTTATATTATTTAATAAAATAATAATCATTACAAAGGATTTTCGGTTTCGGCCCAGAATTTTCATTTCGATGCATCCCTAAACACAAATGTTGATTGATAGTAGTGTAATCTCTTACCAGCATTTCCCATGCATCTCGATCCCAAAAACAGTCCTGCGAGTCTGTCATTTCAATAGCTTCTTTAGTTTAAGGCAGATGGCAAAAAGAAACATCCCTCTTTGAGGAATTGTGCAAGCTGGTAAACACAGCGGGCCAATAAAGCTTGGACTAATAATCACTTTTCTCATTCCCTTGATGGAATTGCCATGATTACCAGATCACAGTACATTTCCACTAAGGGAATGCTGAGTAGCAGCTCATCTGAATGGCAGAGAGTTTAAAAGATCAGAAGACGTGAGCCGAATATACAATGTAGCAGAACATTGTTATAAAGCATGACATGTCATGCCAGACACTGAAATTAATGTTTCTGAATGAAACTATTAATATAGACACTGCTATTCAGAAGTCTGAGGGCTGTAAGATTTTATTAATAAAACAAATGAATACTTTTATTCAGTAAGGATGCATTCAATAAATCAAATGTGACAGTAAAGTCATTTATAATTTTACAAAAGTTGCAACCTTTATGAGAATTAAAGCATCTTTACAGCGGAGTTAAGACTGCTTAAAATTTAAAGATGCAATGCCACATTAAAGCCAGACTAAATTATGCCAGCTCAGATCCACCCAGTGTCAAAGCATACAGTTGTAATTGGTGTAAATGCATTTAAGACACCTTCAAGCAGCATTAAACAGACTGAGTTGAGACACCAAAATGCCACTTCAGAAGCACTTCTGTGCCACCTTTGCAAGGTAAATTTGGCGTAAGAGACATTAATGTCTTTCAACAACATTAAACAGTTTTAATGTACGTTGATAATTCTGTTCAGTGAACTTAATCCAAGCTATAACATGCCTGCGATCATCAGCAACCATCCATGTTACCTGTCAAACAACTAGAGGGAGTGTACAGCAAACTTGGCACGATATCTTAAACCATTAGAGAATATCCAAAGCAAACAAGGTACCACATTTATTCAAAGCATTCACACCTTGATAAGCAACATGCACACACTTGCTTTTTCAGCATGCTTACATTTGCATGCAAGATGCTGTTAGTTATGCAGTAAGCAGTCATTCAATTAGTGCATTCATTGCTGCCTACATCTTTGCGCTGATATTTACTGCAGAAGTGATAATCACATCACGACAGATCATCACAGTAGTGTCCCGATGAGCAGAGCAGTACCGGTCTGCATGCAAAGAATCAGCTGACCTATATTTGTGACTGGTTCAAATCTTCAGCTCAACCCTAATGAAAGCATGTTATATACGCAAACGTGCTTAACAATTGTTAAACACCTCGGTTATGTTTCATAACCTTGAAGTAAACGAACATATAACGTCACGCTGTCCGAGTCGAGCATCTCATTATGTTTTGAGAATGATTTTGAAGCTCGTTTGAATACTAAACATGATCATAACTAACTCCAAATATGCTGTCAGTGTCTAGGTAAGTTAGGAAGTTCACTAGGTTTTGCAACACAGCCCTCATCACCCTTTTTCTCAACCGGTATGCAGCAAAAATGATCATTTGAATGGTCTAATTTTTCTGTGTTTACCCAAACAGAACTGCACACGGCAAGGTCAACATTGAATTTAACGTTTAGAGATGATAAAACAGAGGTATGCGTTGACACGGGCGTTAGCCAACTGTTGCTAGCTAACATGACATTGATGAAACGACGTGTTGAATCGCCGACAACATACACCTCTCTCGAGCCACTAAAACTGCAGACCTGAGCGGGATAGTTTCTTATATTTATAGCGATAACGTTCACGCAACACACACCCGTCGAGCTGTCGATATATTCACGACTAAAGGAGAAAAAACAGAAGCTGAAGTATTCCTCCAACGGCCGCGTCCGCCATTTTGAGACACCGAGAAAAGGAGGCGCAAAAATTAGATCTACAACAGGCGATTTTTATCAAACACAACCGCGAAGAGAGACACAAATGAGCTGTTCTTACCCTAAAGAGTCAGCACTGAAGGTTCTTCCTCAGAAGACGCTGGTAAGGAACGAAATAAGTGTTATTTTCGTGTTGAAAAGGGGGGCTGGAGTCTTGGGGTCTGCTCCTTGCAGCGCCGCATTCGCCTCTACAGCACGGGAGCGCGCATGGGCTGACTTCAGCAGGCGGAGGCGCGCACGCCCTTCAATCTCACACCCTCCTTTCAAATACTGTGGGCGTTTCTTCAATAAATATGCACCTCGTCGCCTAGTTTTGCGGATAACTTCAAAAACGGACCGTGAAAAATTATTTCTCACTTGAGCCACATTAATCTGGGTACAATCAGAGCGCCTGACCTCTATTTGTGAGAGTCAAAACAGCACCTGTGTCATGCTCAAACCAGTTTACATTATTAAGGGTTTGATTGTAATTTTTCAATCACCTGAAGCAAAATATGTGACCCTGGACCACAAAACCAGTCATTAGCAGCACGGGTATATTTGTAGCAATAGCCAACAATACATTGTATGGGTCAAACTGATTGATTTTTCTTTTATACCAAAAATCATCAGGATATTAAGTAAAGATCATGTTCCATGAAGGTATTTCCTACCGTAAATAAATCAAAACTTAATTTTTGATTAGTAATATGCATTGCTTTAAAGGCGATTTTCTCAGTATTTAGATTTTTTTTGCACCGTCAGATTCCAGATTTTCAAATAGTTGTATCTCGGCCAAATATTGTCCGATCCTAACAAACCATACATCAATGGAAAGCTTATTTATTCACTCACTCAAGATTGACCCTTATGACTGGTTTTGTGGTCCAGGGTCACATATTTATATTTATGTCTATGGTTGTTATAGTCTTCATAAAGTGTATACATGTAACTATTGTACACAGTGAGTACATTAATGCTTACTCCTTGAAATAATTTTTTGTGTTTAGACAGTATACACAACGTTTAAATGAATGTAATCACATGTTGTTTTCAAGTTTCTTTATTCATTTTAATACAAAAGGATACTCGGACCAAAAATAATTAGATTGATATTTAGAAGAATTGACATTAAGGTAGCACTCATTAAAGAAACCAAAACAAACACACAAAGGGTATGACAAATATTTCATGTTGAAAACAGAATACAGAAAAGAAAAAGAAAAAAAGAAGTGATCTGTTTGTTCAACACCAGATGACACTGAGACCGAACACTGTATGTTTGCTCTATGTAGATTTCCTCAGATAATTTATTTTTTTATATTCTAGTTTATAATGGGTTTGTGCAGATTATTTAAGAGAAAATGTAACAAAATGTGCTGCAGGCTGAGGGTAGAGGGTGTCTTAATTGTGATATTTCTTTTAAATGACTGGTGTACAGTAAATTTGATAAGAGATTTAATTGATGCTTTTTAAATGTCCAATCGTTTTCTTCTGACAATTAAAAAATATGTTTTCTTCGTTTTGTATGCACACTTTCACACAGAACATAAAGATTTGTGATAAAACTGTAATTTGAAGAATATTATGAATATTATACCCAGGAAGACATTCAAGACACTTCAAATTAAAGATTGTAATTCAAAAAGAAAGAAATGAACAAAAATAACTATTTTGTTTCGGCGCCTGTTGTCAATAAAACCCAAACCTTTCTAAAAAGTACTACACATCTAGATTACATCAAATTGGTTTGTCATGCAAGCAGTTATTGAAATCTTGTATTGACATGTTGCTTTGCTACATAACATGAACACATCACAGATTTGGTGACCATTCTTAATTATGAAAATGATCTTTGCGGTTAAATTTAAAACACTGTTTGAATCCACTGGTTTGTTCACTATGAGATGTGCAACTATGGAAGCTTGAATATATTCAATTGAGATCATATTTAACATTCTTAACTGCAGATTGGTTACTTGTTATTTTTTAAGCCCAGGAGAAACCTGAGGTTATGTGCCTGGCTCAAGGACAAACTAGAGACAGGATTTTCTCATTAACCCTTCAGTTCAAACTAAGGTCACGCTTACTCAATGAACTTGTGATGCATCTGTTACCAACTCAGAGCTTTAACCACTAAGCTACCACCAGCATATTCGGCATATTCCTAATAAGTTACTATGGCATTAAGATCCTATTGAACTCCAGTTTCAATGTTTTGATTCAAATCTAGTTCATATTTTAATGCAATACCTCAAAAATTGCGTTTATGTCCATTATCAATGAATGTTAATAATATATTGACTACAGTACACCCATGTGGCACCTAAAGGTACTGAAGTAGATATTCAAGGATTTCAGTCCAACGTTGCAAAATCCATCAAGAAATCCATCAGTTGCCCAACCTTTTGACTTATAGAAGCTTAAATAGGCACAAATCTCACATAATTACATATTCTTGTTCATAAATATCAGTTACATTGCTTTTCCCCACCAATTTTCAGAGACTTTAACCATTTTTAAACAATTTTACTTTTTGTTTTATAGGGAAATACAACCAGGCTAGCCGTTTTCTTGCATCCATGTGCACAATCCAAGATGCACTTAGTTCCAGCATATTGCTTCATACACAGTTTGAGCACAGCAACAATTTTGACATTTGCAGGACACACACAAAGCATGTACACAATGTACACATCGTCCTTGATCTTTTTTTTTGGTATGTTACACATCGAAGCAGCCCATCTTATTCCTCTTTTGTCAGTCCTATATGACACCACACAAAAGCCCAGCACTGGTAAGTGCAATAAATACTGCTAGGGAGGAACCAAACACGAGTCTCGCAAGTTTCTGAACCCTGTGCCAAGTAATTCTGGAGAATATACTGATCGGATCTTGAAAACCATGATATTAGTAGCACATCTTCATCTTAACAGATTGCACGAGTCCATCCGTTATCAATGATGTATAAAAATATCATCACGATACTGTTCTGTTGCAGCAGCTTTGGAGGAATCCGAATCTGTTTCTGCACTAGCATGGACAACCATAAAGAGACATACACACATGAGCACGCACACATACACACTTTTAAAGTGAAAAGGTGTTTCAGCACCACAGTCTAATTCAAGCTGGACATTTCAAATCAGTATTTCAATCAAAATGAATCAAGTACCTGTCTAACCCCAATGACAAAGCTTTATAAATTGCATGTGTAAAACATCTGCTTTCATTCTCTTTCCCAATGTATTTCTATAAAACAGACATGGCTTAAATTAACGTTGACATGAAAGATCTAATGGCTTCTCATGTACTTTTACAAGATTCCTTGTTTTACAGACGCCACCGATCTAAACTGATAGGTTGAGAACTTGCATCTGTAAAGTTGCATCGATCCGGTCTAAAGGCAGCAGCCACGGCGAGCGTAGAAACAACGCATGGGACACAATACTAGCATTCGGCCCTGAGACTAGACCTTAAAAGAGTTTACATTCTCAAGCCCATGATTCTTGGATGTCTATCTCTGTTGAATTGAACGGTGAACGTCTTTCGTCTGGTGCATTGTGTAGAAATCACCTGAGTTTCAGATAGGGAGGATCTCTCTACACTCGTGGGTTGCTTTGGGATGGATTGTGGTTATCCTGGGCTCAGATGAGAAGCAAAGAGATGGGGATGATGGATGGATAAGGCTCTGGTATAAAATGTCATGGTCATCCTTGGTCACCTCCAGTCTCATCTGCGCAAACTCGCAGAGGAAGGACTACATTCTCTCTGCTTCTTCCTGTAGACCTCGAGGGGTCGTGTTGTTGAATTGCACGTGTAAAACATCTGCTTTCATTCTCTTTACAGCTACAAACTACACTCTGTACACATTTTTGTCGCCTGTTCATGGTTCTCCCCTCCCCATTATGCTCAAAGTGAATTGGTTAGATTAGACAGCTCAGTTCTCAGGTCCACCGGTTCTAACAGATGGCTGCTGCATCGTGTCCTCCTCGATATGGAGAGGGGCTGTACGGTTGGGGTTGTTAATCATCCACAGGCAGCTTGTCATCCAGCTCTAACTGACCACCCTGCTGTTTCTCGATTTTCCCAGAATCCTGCATCAGCTGCCGTCTCTGCACCTCGGCCTTCAGATTCTCCAGATCCTTTTGGCTGCGTGAAAAATCAATGGCGTGAATTTCATTTTTAACAACTTACAGCTGAAATAGATTATAATTGTCTATATATATATATATATATATATATATATACAATAACAACTATAATTGTCTATATATAATTATCTAAGGAAGTCGTGGCCTAATGGTTAGAGAGTCGGACTCATAACCCAAAGGTTGTGGGTTCGAGTCTCGTACCGGCAGGGATTGTAGGTGGGGGGAGTGAATGTACAGCACTCTCTCCCACCTGCAATACCACGACTGAGGTGCCCTTGAGCAAGGCACCGAACCCCAACTGCTCCCTGGGCGCCGCAGCATAAATGGCTGCCCACTGCTCCGGGTGTGTGTTCACGGTGTGTGTGTGTTCACTGCTGTGTGTGTGCACTTTGGATGGGTAAATGCAGAGCACTAATTCCGAGTATGGGTCACCATACTTGGCCACACGTCACTTCACATCTAAATTTGTTCTTCAAGCAGTTTTTGACAAAAAAGATTTTATACATTTTATATGTTAATATTTTAAACTAAAATATACTGTTGATGAAAATTACCAAAATACCACTGCAAGATATTTATTAACAAAGTTGGAATATGTGTATCTAGAGTAGAATAGAATATAGAATAGAATAATTACATTATATATTTTATTACATAATATTATATTATAATATATGTTGGTAATATTTCATTATAAGTTTATAAATAAAGTATTAGCCACATATATTATTAATAAATCAGGCTTGTATTTGTATATAAACATTATTTTGTCTTTAATTGCAAGAGTTTGTAAGACCCATCGTGAGCAGCGTAACCTATTTCCGCAATATGCTATATCTTTGCATATTATACTATATACTAGGGCTGCACGATTATGACAAAAATCATAATTGTCGATTATTCATTATTATCACAATTTACATTGAATGATACCATTGTTTGATGCAACTGCATGCCGTATTTTCATATGAAAATAAACAAGCTGAAAACACTAACTGAAAAACCTTTAGTGCTTTTCTATAGTATTAATCCTCAAATGTCAAATATACATCGGATTGGTTTCTTCTTTAAATTATAAAAAAAGTAAAAATATGAATGGTATTATAATGTTATACTAAGACTAAAACAATGGAAAAACCCTTAAGATAACATGTAGAAAGAAAAAAACATATCTTAAGCGTGCAGAATAACATAAGTGGACTTTGAACGATTACGTAATTGTGGCATCCATAATTGTAATTTCGATTAGAAATTTGATTAATTGTGCAGCCCTACTATATACAAAATCTACTCTATAATATAATATAATATATATTTTTTAAAGATAGCTCATTCTTCATTATCTATACTTACCATATTTATTTAGCAAGCCCAGAATCTCATACTAATTATTTAACAAGGATAGTTAATTCACGTTATGTTTCGGTTCTACTAATTTAAAATAAAAAAACAGTTTGAAAACAAAATGGTTGGTTAAAGTTCAAGGGTTTTTGTCAAATAAAATTACATGCCATGCCAATCCTTGTAAAATCAAATATTCAATTAAAGAAGTTACAAGACAAAATATTTAATTGACATACTTAACCAAAAGACAAAAAATATAACTTTCACTAAAACAAAATGGTGTAAACCTTTGCTCACCTGAGGGGAATAAAGATGATGCCATTGATGATATTAAGCTGTTCCAGAACACTGGCCATGTTTGGTGCCGTAAACTACAGAGAGAAACAAAATAAGACATCAACAAAACATTCAGGCAACATCACGTAACAAAATTTTAGAGGTATGAGGCCCAGGACAGTGGAGGTGTGACTGACCTTGAGAGGCATTATGCTAGCATTAGATCCATTCTTGTAAATCTCATTCATGGTTCTCTGTAGAGCCACAGCTTGCTGCGTGAGGTACTTCAGATACTCTGAGCTCTCCTTCGTCTTCTCATGAGCTTCACCAACCTTAAACACAAGTACATTGTTGTTTGCATTAACATTGATTATAATACTATTCTATACATTAGTGTATTACAACCTCTTTATTAAAATCAGCCTTGCATTTATATATAAAGTCTTTGCATTTGTATAATTCACAGGGAAAATCCAGTCATTTCAATGGGAGTATATGCAATCAGAAATTGTGTGTGACTAAATGTGTCTGTAACTTAATGTATCATTAAACATCTTAGAAGGTCCGATATACTGTACATATATGGTTGGCTGTACCTGGTTCTTGTATATGGTGTAACCCTCCTTCTCATGCTGCAGTGCAGAGCGGAACTCAGCCTTGCTCTCATAAACTCTGGCCACCAAGTGATGACTGCAGAAGAACCGAGATGATGAACGTTACTACATATTTTGACTGCATCTGACACAATGATTTGAACTAGTGTGCAGTCAGACGTATGTACCTGAGAGCTACTTTCAGGGATCGTGGCCCATGGTATTTGGAATTGTTGGCCAGGGCGTTCTCCAGGAAACGCAGAGACAGGTCATACTCCATCACACCATGAAGCACCAGACCAATATTGCTCTACGTCAGAGAGAAAGAACAACGGTGAGAGCTGGGCTTTGCTCCACAAGCCTCAACCTAAGTGACTACAGGAATTCAATTTCCTCTCATCAGCCTTTCAGGGCTTGCATAAGTACACTTTTTTGCAAAACTAAGGATGAGCATAGATTCTGCACCAAAGGCTTACATCGAGCAGAGCCATTTCAGGATGGTCCTCCCCACACACCATGAGCATGAGGTAGCGAGCGCGGTACAGCAGCTTCAGGGCAGTGGACAGCTGGCCATTGGCGAAGCAGTACAGAGCTAAATGCATCTGTGGAGAACAAACACAAAACATTTACAGATCACAGAGACTTGTTTGAGGTTCATTTATTCCCATTTGTAGTTTGTAGTAGAATATTTGTACATTTTCCGAGCAGACAGCACTGATAAGATGTACGGAAAATGATGGAAATACTTACATATTCTTGAACAGTGTTGGGGTGTTCAATACCCAGCACTCTCTCACTCATCAGGACAGCCTTCTGCTGATTGCTCAGAGCCTTGAAAAGAGGGGGGAAATCTTTTGATGAAAGTATGGAAATTATACAGGGAAGAGAAAAAAAAAAGTTTTTAAAATAATAAATCAAATTTAGTTTTGATTAAAAGTTTGTGGTTCTAATGTTTTTAAAAATATGTTTTATAAACTATAAAAAAATACAGTAAAGTAATAGTGTGAAATTTTATTACAATTTAAAAATAACTTTTTTATTTGAATAATTTGAATGTAATTTATTCCAGTGATGGAATTTTCAGCATCATTACTCCAGTCTTCAGTGTCACATGACCCTTCAAAAATCATTCTAATATGCTGATTTGCTCCTGAAAAAGCATTACTTATTATCATCAATGTAGAAAACAGTTATTTGCTTAAGACTTTTGTGGAAACCACAATACATTTTTTCTTCAAGATTTCTTGGTAAATAGAAAGTTCAAGAAAACAGCATTCACTTGAAATAGAAATCTTTTAACATTATGAATGTCTTTACTGTCACTTCTGACCAATTTCTGTGCCGCGTTGTGTCCGTGCTGAATATAAATGTATGAATTTCTTTAAAAAAAAAAAATCCTTCTGAACAATAGTATACATTCATCTGCAAAACTAAATAAAAAAGAATTTAACTAAAACATAAGATCAAAAGGTTTTTTAAATAATTAGAACCAAATTTAGTCCCTCGTATCCAAACATTTGACTGTTTTCAGGATGTACCTCAGGATGATCACCCATGATGTAGTTGAGTCGGGCCAGAAGGCGCAGACAGGCACAGATCTCCACATGCATGGCTCCATACACATTGTTGAAAAGGTTCAAGGCCTCGTTGATGAGCTCACAGCCCTCCTTTAGAAAGCCTACAAACAGAGGACACATCAATCAGCATTACAAACCCATCATATGTGAAATTTCACTGATGAGGATGTGTTTTAATGTACCTTGCTGAACCTTGGCCTGCCCGCTTTGGAAGAAATGGAAGGCATCAGAGGCTTTGGGGTTGACGTGCTTCACGACGGGGAAGATGTTCAGGATGTCCTCCTCGGTGAAGGCCGGCTTGTGGCGGCTGTCAAAATTGTACTCCTTTATCAAGATCTGCAGGGGAAGCACAAAAGAAAGCCTTGTTGCTACAGGCCTGACGGAGCACCTCAGTGACAAGGAGCGAGATCGATAAGAGCACTACCTGAATGCCAGTCTTGATTGATATCTCCCTCAGCAGGGTGATCTTCTGCAAGCCGTACTTCTCCACTGCTTGGTCCACACTTTCACTGTGAAACATAAAAGCACAACACCATTAGTATATACTAGGTTAATAAAGTGCAGGGTGTTTGTATAGAACGAGTTCTCACCATTGCAGATTGAAGTGATAGTAGCTCTGTGCCTCAGAGTTAATGTTCTTCCACAGCTCACTTGGGGTCAAACTGGCCCATGCCGTGTTGTCCCCTCCACCAGGGACCCGGTTACGTCTCTTACGGCTCTTTCTGCGGGACACCAGCTCATCCGCAGGGAGATGAGCCACGGCATCTGGGAAAGAGCTCAAGAGGCAGTTCAGGAAGTGGCTCACCGCAGCGGATAAAGCAGAGAGCTCCACACCCTGCAAATCACAAAAGGTAAATGGCTCTATATAAAACAATCAACAGCTACTAAAAATGACAAAATACAAAGGCATTGCCAATGTTTTCTATTTAGAAATGTATTATGGCAATGCGACCGTGTAAATAAATAGTACCATGGCAAATACATATGGTTATCATTCATTTCAATCATAGTAAGGCACAGTAAGGAACTGGGGTCAGTAAGGAAGTTTTTTTTTTTTTTAATTCAACAAGGATGCACTAAATTGATCAAAAGTGACAGTAAATACATTTACAATATTAAAAAAAGATTAATACATTTCAAATGAATGCTGTTCTTTTGATCTTTATTCATTAAAGGATCCCGATTGTTTCACAGTTTCCACAAAACCCAGCACAACTGTTACGCAGCACAACTGTTTTCAATATTGATAATAATAATAATAAGAAATGCTTCTTGAGCACCAAATCTGCATATTAGAATGATTTCTGAAGGATTGTGTGACACTGAAGACTGAGTAAAGAGTAATTGCTGCTGAAAATGCAGCTTTAAATAATAATTAATAATAATAACCGTTTTAAATAACAGTACAAATATTTTTTATTAAATTTTAAAAAATTCAAATTATCTTCTTCAATTGTAATAATAGTGCATTATATTACTGTTTTTACTGTATTTTTGATTAAATAAATGCAGTTTTGGTGACCATAAGAAACAACAATGAAAAAAATCTTACTGACTGTAAACATTTGATCAGTAATGTGTGCGTTACATTGTATTCCTGTCAATGTACTGCATTACACCTTACCTGAAGATATGTTTTGAATATATGCTTTGCACATCTGGTGATCAGTTCACTGATTCCTATTCTCTGCATGTACAAACAAAACAAATTAATTCTTTGTAATATTAGAAATAAATTGCTTTTTTTTTAATATATAAAATTATCCTTTTCTTACGTAGATGTGTTCAAGTTGTGCTTTTGCAGGCATGTTGTCCACAAACTCCAGCACAGTACCAAGATAACGCATATTAATGCCACGCTGATGAAGGGCTTCTGTCATTGTTGCTCCATCCATAGGCAAAGAGCTGTGATCTAAACAGTCTTTTACCTGTGAACATTATTCATGAATTTGACTATTCATTGAAAATTGGGTTCTTTTATCATTTCGCTCTAGCTGCCGTTTCATAATAGCAATAAGCCACTTAAAGCAGTGCATTATAATGACTTTACCACAGTTTCTCATTGATTATTACATTTTCTCATGGTTAATAAACCTATCTGAGAAGGTAGGTGTTGTTTAGTGACTCACAAAAGAAGGAGCCTGGAAGGACACTAGGAAGGCTGCAGCATCTTTGAGAAGCTGCTTCTGTTTCTGGATGTCCTCAGTGCTGTCATCAGGGAAGCGTACGCCTGTAAGAGATGGATGAGGTCATGTGACCAACACTGCCTATATTGTCAAAAAGACAAATCACAATCCACGTACAAAACATAATATATGCCATACCTGGAGAGAAGATATCTGGGTTGAAGCGAATGTCGAAAGAGGTGTTGCTGATGGAGCCCACGGCTTTACAGGCGTTGAGGACCACCTCTCGACTTTTGGGGTCTGTGAAAATGTTCCACAAAATGTTAAAATGCATTCCAGCTCACAAGCAACTACTAAATAACCACCACCATAAAAAGCAGAATATATATTAATTTTAAAAAAAGATGACTCGAACTCAAACAAACAAACAAAAATCTGGATTCTGATTAAATCAGGGGTTTTCAAAAAGGGAAAATTTGAGAATGAATTTTTTTAATTTTTACAAAAATGTATGTGTCACTAAGTAAATAAGTTAATATTAATACGAAAAGATACATTTAATGAATTTATATAAATATAAAATATATTTAGATATAACAAAATATATTAATATATAAAAATGGCAACTTTTAATTCATTAATGTTTATATTAAATATGTAATCATTTTTATTTACATATATTTTTACCTTTTAATGTTTGTAACATTTATTAATAATAAAAAATACTTATTACTTAATAACAACAGCAATGATAATTAATATTATTATTATTGGCTGCTAGTAACATTTAAAAAAATGTGTAAAGATTTATTTTAAATAAAGTTTAATTTATATTTTAGTTTTTAATGTTTGTAATTGTTATTGATAAATAACAACAACATTTAAAACCCCTACACAATATGATATAGAAAATTCTATTGTACTCCATTTATACTGAGAGAAAGTTTAAATTATGAAGACGACAAAATTAAATCATTTCATATTATAAAGTCCTTCACATGAAAAAGTTTGAAAACCCCTGGGTTTAATTATTAGCTTTTACAACAGGATTACCGGATCACCATCACCACACAATCCTACACACAATAAATTGATGTTTTTTAATAGAAAAATTCTGATTTTCTAATCACACCACAAAGATAAGTTAGAAGGGAGAGTGTTGTTGGGTGGAAAATGTGTGGGTAAAAAAAAACTGAAGTCCCCACACAGTGGAGCCAGATTATTACAAAGCCAATCTAGGAGATCCATGTCTCCTTCAATGAGCCTCAGAGAGAACAGAAGCAAACAGCACAGAGGAGTGATGCACTGAAAAAACACAGATAGCGAATGAAAAAGACAACAGCAGGACGTCTAATGAGCTGATGACAGAACTCAGATGGAGCTAAGATGAGAAAAAGTATGTGTGCATGTCTCTGCCAGCTCTTGCTCTTGTTCCCTCTCAGGCTCTTTTCAGTCGCTCACAGGACGTACCAATACCGGATCCATCTTCTGCTGCTAAGGACTCAGCCAGCTCTTTAGCTTGGGCAAGTCCAGGAATATTTTCATCAGCTTCCTTACCCTCCAAGGGACTATCACACCCTCCATTCTGCCTCTCTGCAGCTGAAGGCTCATGAGTACCATTGGTGTTTGCTGTAGGAACTGCGGATTTCAGATCTGCTGGGGCTTCCTGGTTTTCAGGAGCAGAGTTTTCAGACACAGTCGTTGCCTCTGCGTCATCGGGGGTCAGAGTGGATTCAGAGGAAGTTGGGGAGGTCGGCGTGCCGTCGGCAACCTTCTCAGATGCTTCAAGAGCCTGAGGTTTGCTTTCAGACTCCGCATCTGCAGTGCTTGTGTCATGCAGGGCTGCAGTCTTGTCTTTGTTTGCTTTCTGCTGCATTAGCTGGAGTGCTGCCATCTTCATGAAGAGGAGATATCTGAGGCACAAGAGGATGACATGTTTAGACCAGTCGACAAACTGGCCTTCAGGACTTTCAAGGAATTAGCAATTAAAGAGAAGATTCATTTAATTAAAGAGAAGTAAGAGTTACTACTACCACTAATTATAATTATTATTAGTAGTAGTAGTAGTCGTATTTGTTATTAGTAGTAACTATTATAAAAACAAAACTTAAATATATGTAAATATTTATTTTAGATACATATTTAATTGTTTATTATTTACATGTAAATGTTATTTTTATTTTTGTACAAATAATAAAAAAATATTATAAATATTAATGATGTTATAATAACCATGTTTATTTTATTTACATACATTTTAAAGCCATTTTTGTAAGTTACTAATAATAAAATTAATAAAAACATTAACAACCTAAAGTTTGTCTTGACAAACTTTGTCTAGTTAATAATATTACTATTTATCTGTATAAAAGTAAAAAATAAAGTGTAAATATTTATTCCAAATATTTCTCTTTTGTAATAGTTACTAAAACTACAAATAATGTTAACAATAATTAAAAGTAATAATAATAGCATAAACAATAACTAGTAGTAGTATTAGTAGTAGAAGAAATAGTAATTAGTAAAAAAGTAAAATATACACGTTTTATTCTGAATATGTAATTTACATATATAATTTTTTTGTAACGTTACTAATAAAAAATCTAAAAATTATTTTAACAATAATTATGACAATAAAATGAATAAATTATAATTATTGTTACTATTATTTTTATTTTTAAAAAAAAGATATACATCTCTTAATCAACAATATTTTGGAGTGCAAAAATTCAGACCTTGACTAGTTTTGTAAACACATTGCCCTCCTACATATTCAAAGAACTGCTTATGATTCAAACAAGAACCAACCTGTGATTGAAAGATATGATAACATCTTAAAATGCTGGTTTGTTTCTTTTACAGAGCTATTATATGACTTTGAATATACAGCTTCAGCCATATAAACTATTTTTATGGTGTCTTTTTGGAACCTGAAATCCACTGCTGGTATATAAATCATACCTTCATTAGACAACAAATGGGAGAGTAACTTTAATCAGATTTAAATAAGCATGTTTATGAAGTAGCAGGAACAAACCTGTGCTCTACAAAGGCCTCGATGAGCTCCTGGCGCAAGCAAGCCAGGCGATGGCGATGCTGGCAGGGGAAACCCAGCTTCTGGCTCTCGGGGGCGAGCTCTTCGCCCTCCACCGGCAGGTAGTTGAGGTCAGGTGGGAAGGTGCGCAAAAGGTCCAAGATGTAATGGCGGCCATCGTTGCCAATGATACCCTTACACTCCACAGAGGAGCAAAGCTCTACAGAGGTGTCTTTTTCATTGAGCACAGCGTGGTGCTGCACCTTCAGCGGGCGGCTGGTCTTCTCCAGAAGCTCTAGATACTTGGGGTGGGACACTACGGTCTTGCCGAAGTCAATGGAGCCGTAGATGACGCTCTGCTCCTGTTCACGCTCCAAGATGCCAGGAATGATGGACTGTGCGGTTACACGGTAACCTCTGTAGTCCACCACCACCGTGCCCAGGGTGTAGAGCCCCTCCACGTCCACAGCACTGTACGCCCTCACCCCGTTCAGATCATTGGTGGGGGCAGCATGGGCGGCAGCATCCCCGCCGAGCTCCCTGTAGTGGTCACGTACGTCAAAACCCAAGCTGAAGAAGATGTTGTTCCAGATGAACATCTGCATGCGCGTTTCCTCGCCAGGGTTGATCGCCATTACATTGCCATCGATCACCGCCATTGCGCCACGCGTCGCCGCACCGGCAAAGTCGCTATGAACCTAAGAAACAGAAATCAGTTTGTGAGCTTCACATTGTTGATCAAATGAAACCATACTTGTTCTGATGCTAGTGTTGGTGTGTTCACCTTGAATATGGCTCGTTCTCTCAGTAGGCGCTCAGGAAGGTTCTTACGAGAAAGTTCTCTGGTTGTCTGGAGCTCTTCGTTCCAGTCTCTAGTCTATCACAGAGAACAAAGAAACTTTAATAGTGCTATTTGAAAAAAAAACTAAATCCACTGCAAACTGAAGAAAGGATGATTTTAGGGCATACTTGGCCAGGTATATGCTCCTCGTAACCCAGACGGGAGGTGTAGGCATCCTCTGCTCTCACACAGTCCATGGCATGATCAATCTGTGGTGCAGTCCAGCAGTACACTTGGAAGGGAGTGGCTATTCTCTCAAACGGATTTCTTTGAACCCTGACGCAAGATCCACAATCATTAGCAATAAAACGATACGATAACAGAATGAAGACGAGAAAAGGCTTCTAAAACGGTGACACAAAAATTTAGACCAGTTATTCCCAACTAGGGAGTACTGATTTAAATATTTAAATATAAGTCTTTAAATTATTATTCATATTTTAAAATAATCTAACTCTTAAAAAAAACTAAAAACATAAAATTAAGATGTAAACTGAATCTTTCTCAGCTTTTTTTTTTTTTTTTTGAGGAACATACAGTTCTTGAAACGTCTGGAATTACAAAATAAATGTAAAACATAAATACTCCCAGTTTCTGTTATTAAAAAATTTTGAAAGCCAGCAGCTTTGTTATAATTACATCAGATTTCCTTGAAGGCCAACTTACAAAAAAGTAAGTTGGCATACTGCTGCTCCCAGATATCGTTTTATCTCACTCCTGAGTAGGATGATAATGCTTAGTGCAAATGTGGTCTAGTAGAGATAAAATGGGTGACGTTTCCTTAAGCAGGCTAGAGCTGGTTGCTTCAAAGGAGTTCACTATTGGCTCGTTTCCACAGAGTGGTACGGTACGGTACGGTACAGTACAGTTCAATACCATACGATTCGGTACGGGTAACCCTGATCAGGCTTGCGTTTCCACTGCCAATAGTACCCTTACTTGGTAGGCGTGGTGTATGCCGGAAAGTAGTGATCGACGATGAACCGCAACAATAAGCACAACTCTGCCACTTTTTGTTAAATGTCAGTTTTAATGAACAATAGTAGCCATTATAAAAGTATAAGTACAAAGTTTAAGAGGCTTATATAAGAGGAAATAAAAACAAAAGCAAACAGTTCAGTCAAACGTATGCTACAAAGTCAGCGCTGTACTACGGTAAAGTTCAAATTAAATATATAAAGTTAAACATAACTTTGTGCTCAGCCAAAACGATACGACCAGGAACAAATAATAGATTCATAAGACCACGAATGCCTGTTAAATATAGCCAACCCAAAACGAATTGTATCTCATATTTAATCACTACAGAGACATCAGAGCCAGCGGCAAATGTCGGAAGGACTAGCCGAGCTAAGGCTGCTCTATGCGGATACATGAGCACTGAGCGCCCGGTGATCGCCTGGAGCTCCGAAAACGGCATAGCAAATTTTCAAATAGGCACTCTCTTTATAAATAAACCACAGATTTGAGTTTTAAACAATTACATTCTCACCTGAAAAACTTCATTTCATGACAAAATAACAGTAATATTTAGAAAATTACGCAGTGATGACAGTAAATTGGGGCAAAAGTTGTGTAGTGTATTCCAGTGTTTAGGGCAATGAGATGCAGGAATTTCTGATCATTTGTTTGTAACACTGTTTCTGTACTGATCCAGCTGGCAGGAGATTATCACCATGATCATTTTCATTCTGATGGCAGTTTTGTGGTTTACAAGAAACCCAGGTTTCATGCCTGGCTGGTCGTCATTGTTTCCTGAGTGAGTGTATTCACATTTATCAACTTCTTTTGATGTAGATATACTACTGCACATTAGAGAAAGTCATCATTCTGTTCAATAATTGCCTTTAGATTTCTTATTTATTCTTTGTATTTTGTTATTTCTTCAGTTACCCAGGATACGCTACGGATGCCACTGTAGCGCTGCTGCTGGGTTTCATGTTCTTCATCATCCCCGCACACAAACCAAATGCAGAGCGCTACGGTACGGCTTACTCATTTCCTTTGTGCACACTTGAAACCCTTCCAAATGATTAGAGGCTCACTATCGGCAGTTTTGTTGTTGATTAACATTGTCGATCCCTGTGACAGAGGCCTTGATAACGTGGAAGGACTTCCAGGCCTGTATGCCATGGGAGATCAGTCTGCTCGTGGGTGGTGGTTTCGCTTTGGCTGAAGGCACAAAGGTAGGATCATGATTTAATGGAAACCCAACTATATCTGTAAGAGAAGAAAAGACAGAAATGAATAGAAAAGTACAAGGCCGCTTTAATAGTTGAATCAATTAATGGTCCGTTTTACATGCCTGGATTCAATTAAACAGCCCAGTCTAATTCACTAGTGGCATTGGACAGGCCTGGACAGCTCAATTGCACCATTTACTCATAATCTTAAACATTAATTTCCTTTTAAAAGAAATAAATGAAAAGACGAATCACATCAAGGCCTCATAACAGTGTGCAGCCCATTAACGTTGTGCAGAGAACAACAATTCCACTGTGTCACTCTCTGTCTGCTTTGACGTTCCATTCAAGCTAATTACATGCCTCCATTATAAGACTGGCACTGAAGCACAGCATTTCAGCATAACAAACGGCTCCTTCCTCATGTCAGTTGCAAAGGCTGGCGACCAGGAACAAATAATAGATTCATAAGACCACGAATGCCTGTTAAATATAGCCAACCCAAAACGAATTGTATCTCATATTTAATCACTACAGAGACATCAGAGCCAGCGGCAAATGTCGGAAGGACTAGCCGAGCTAAGGCTGCTCTATGCGGATACATGAGCACTGAGCGCCCGGTGATCGCCTGGAGCTCCGAAAACGGCATAGCAAATTTTCAAATAGGCACTCTCTTTATAAATAAACCACAGATTTGAGTTTTAAACAATTACATTCTCACCTGAAAAACTTCATTTCATGACAAAATAACAGTAATATTTAGAAAATTACGCTGGTTTTTGGGCAATGACGTTTCACAAGTCCACAAGAACAGACAAAAATGCATATTGAGAAACGGCTATTGTCTGTGTGCAAATATAAAATACACTGTTATATTTTTTGTGTTTGCGCACTCTGATATAAATAAGCCCAACACTCATGGACAGCAGAGCGGAACGAGTGAAGGAGAAGTGTTATCCCCTTGTATCACGCAAAAGTGACGATTCTAGTCAACCAATCAACGTTCTGCGGTGAGTTTAGCTCCACCCTTTTTGGTACCCTTTGCTCTGCTAGGTACCCCAACGGAAGGGTACCAAAAAAGTGGTACTGTACGGTTTGCTATTTTGGTAACATTCACAACTTCTGAGTGGAAACGGAAATAATTGCGTACCGTACTGTACCACTCAGTGGAAACGAGCCAAAAGTGGGAGGTGAACTAAATTTGTATTTATAATAATAGTGTATTACCTCTTCTTTTGCAGAGCGGTGAAGTTCTTCTTGAAAGTGGCGCTAATCTGGCTCAGCAGTTCCACTAGAGAGTGGCTGAGGAAGCTGGGATTGGCTGGCTTGGGATTGAAGACGTAAGTAGTGGACCTGCAATGATTATTTTCATGTTATGACTAATTACAGAAAAGGCTGGTATTACATTTCTATACCATTTACTGATTAACTTTAAGTGAGCATTAGACAGATTTTCAGAATTAAACAGAAAAAGTAATCAAAATACAAAAATAGTGGAAATTCACAAACAATAAAACAGATAATACCAAAAATGAAATATTCAATATCGAGTGATCCCGATAAATAAATAAAAAATTTAGGAAATCAGTTTAACTCATTTAAAATAGCTGACAATGGAATGCCATGCTAATCAATCAGAATTAAGTATTTTAGTTAGCAATATAGAGAGCAATAGACCTCTGTTCACTTTTCAGCGGCCTTGGTTTCAGAAATTATTTTCCAAACATTTTTCCCAAAATGATTTTTTGTCACTTTATTTTAAGGTCCAATTCTCACTATTAACAAGCCATTAACTACGACTTTTGCCTCAAACTCCTAATTTGCTGCTTATTAATAGCTAGTAAGATAGTTGTTAAATTTAGGTATTGGATAGGATTAAGGATGTAGAATATGGTCATGCAGAATATGTACTTTTATAAGTAGTGCTGGGCGGTATACCGGTTCATACCGAATACAGGTGTTTATTTTTGTTATGATATGCATTTTTAAAATACTGCAATACCGGTGTGTCGCTTAAACAACGTGGGGTCCCTTTTCACTGGTGCACTGTGGTGAGGGAACAGCTGTATGTGTTACTAAGCGTGAAAGTTCAGAAACTGAAGCTGTAGAACTAATAGAACGTGATGACACAGAAGAACTCATCCAATATCCACATTGACCGCCACAAATATCCACCGCCCCCTGCCATCAGCTCAATGGATACATATAAAACTATTGATTTAAAAATGTTGCTGTATACAGAAACAATACGTTGTAAATTTATTGCAAAAAAAGTCTCTTTTGGCACATTGCACTTGTCACAACTTTTTCATGAGGAATTCTACAATTAAACCCAATACTGAAATAATGCAGACTAATGGCTTCAACAAAAGCATATACCATCCATTAACAACTTTGTAGCTCACAGTATGCCTGTCTTTAAATATTTTTTTAAAAATTTAATGAATGGGATTTTTATTTCCAGAAAAGGTGCACTCAATAACTGACCACGGAATGCAAGCCTGACCAATCAGAACAATGGATACATATAAAACTATTGATTTAAAAATGTTGCTGTATACAGAAACAATACGTTGTAAATTTATTGCAAAAAAAGTCTCTTTTGGCACATTGCGCTTGTCACAACTTTTTCATGAGGAATTCTACAATTAAACCCAATACTGAAATAATGCAGACTAATGGCTTCAACAAAAGCATATACCATCCATTAACAACTTTGTAGCTCACAGTATGCCTGTCTTTAAATATTTTTTTAAAAATTTAATGAATGGGATTTTTATTTCCAGAAAAGGTGCACTCAATAACTGACCACGGAATGCAAGCCTGACCAATCAGAATCAAGCATACTCATACAGATTTGGAATGACATGAGGGTGAGTAAATGATGACAAAACGTTCATTTTTGGGTGAATTATCCCTTTAAATAAACTTTATGAAAGCGTATAAAGTTTACATATATTGTTTAGTGAGGTGGCATTTTTGCATGCAACAATGAACATAGCCTTGATGTCCAACTCGCATACAAAATATTGGTAAACTTTTTTTTTTCTTTTTTCAAATGAATAAAGATTCATAAAACATTTTCAAACTGACTTGTGATTAGTGATTTAAATAAGACTCACTTGGTCAGTTAATCTTTCACAGCTGTTACTGAGTTCAGAATTCGACTTTTTAAATTAAAAAAAAAAATCTGACTTTAAAAAATAATAATAATTCCTTGACCTTAAATGTTTAATTTTAGGAAGCCAATGGCTTCCTAGTCATTTTGTTTATCCCAAAGCACTGATTAATTAGTAGTACAGTCAATTAATCAAGTTTTTCATAATCATGAACAACTTTAGAAAACTAAACAAAAAATGGCTTACTGAAATGTTACTGAATTACTGAAACAAAAATAAAGCTAAATAGAAATATTAAAAACTACCAAAAAAATTACAAAAGCACGCAAAATGACAAACTCAAATTAAAATGAAAACTCAAAAAAGCTAATTTAAAATAATACTATAACAGTACATAAATAATACAAAAATAACACGGTTTCAATAATCGTTATATTAGTCAATCTTCATAATCATTAGTTACAGCCATCTACTTACAATAGAGACCTCACTAATCACTTAGCTTGTTGTTTAGCAGGTGCTGCTTAGCCTGAAGAAGTTGCTTAAAGGCTAGTGGATTTTTACCGGTAGGTCAGCCAACTAGCACAGCGGTCAGCTTCTGAGGGCCTGTGACACTTCACACACTGTAAACAATACAGCTCCCACAGCCCAATGCCGAGCTGCCATGGAGATCGCCACGGCAACATTTTAAGTCCTGGGTCTCGGGGGGCAATCATTCCCGGCACGCTCTCCGTCTGAATGCTACCGGACCAATGCTGGTGCAATATCATCTGACTCAATTGTCTGAGGAGATCCTGTCTGCCTTACTGACTGATTCACTCACACAGATCTGCTGAAGCTGCATGTTTTGCCACACACTGAATTGAATAAGACGACAAAGACTTGAAATTCCTGCCAAGGCAGGCATGTTTTGAGATGCCTCAGCTGTCTCGACCGTAACTCTCTCAGCTAAAATACACTGTTTGCTTTAGACAACTGCAGCATGTCCTTGGCTCTCTTCAATGGTCACGGCTATAGCAATAAGCAGCTGGTCTCACACTACAGACACAGAGGACCACACAAAACCCAATCCCTATATACAAAAAGAACGATTTATGTATTATATACATGTGCCTAAGAGTAAATGGCATGTAATGAGTAACTTCTTGCCACTGTCTAAAAGGAATGTGGAGCTTGTGCTATTTGTGCTTTCTTTCATTCAGTTACAGCACCCATCATTAGTTCAAAGTGAAACTGACTGTTTCTCTTCAGACCTAGTGGCACCATATGGTTATTTTATCTTGCTCTAAATTGAATGTTTACACAGATCTCCCCCAATCCAATCCAAATCTAATCACAAGCATTAGGTCAGGTGGTAGAAGCCTATTGGTTAAGTATAGGTGCTGTTAACACAAATTTTAAACCAACCTATTGCAGGGAAATTCTGCGAATGATGTCCTCAAAGTATTTTGCCAAAAAAAAAACATATCTGAGACACAACAAACAGGACAAAAACTAAATTTTTATTTATTAAATTGTGATCCTTTTTACACTAATCTGTGACGATATTAATTTTAAGGATCTCAAAAGTCCTTATTTATACTGGGTTTTTATTTTGATATATTTTAAGTTTTAGTGAGTTTTTTTTATTAGTACATTAACCAAATTAAAGTTACTAAATGACTAAATTAACTAAATGAAAACAAAAAATGTCTACTTGACTATGAACTAAACAAAAAAGTACATTTATGTTTTATTATGCTTTATTTCAGTTAGCGTTTATTTTATTTGAAAATAAAATGTTTATGATTTTAGTTTTAGATGATCAGAACAACAAAATGAAGATACATCATTGAACTCTGGATTTGCACAGGCCTAAAACAGTGGATTTCAAACTTTTTGACTCCAAGCCCCCCACGGTCCACAACAATAATCAGGGTCCCAGGCCCCACTTTTCCAGTTATGCATGATTGACTGGATAAGGATTAAACTTAACAATTTTTAAAGATATTTTTACTTACAATTTCCCCCTAATAAAAGCTTGGAAGGCTAGAGCTTCTTTTGCTTCTTTCAAAATCATTTCAAGTCATCTTAAAGGGGTCATATGATGTTGCTAAAAAGAACATTATTTTGTGTATTTGGTGTAATGAAATGTGTTTATGTGGTTTAAGGTAAAAAAACACATTCTTTTCCACATACTGTACATTATTGTTTCTCCTCTATGCCCCGCCTTTCTGAAACGCGTCGATTTTTACAAAGCTCATCGGTCTGAAAAGGGAGGTGTGCTCTGATTGGCCAGCTATCCAGTGCGTTGTGATTGGCTGAATACCTCAAGCGTGTGAAGGAAATGTTACACCCCTTAACACACTGTGATGCCGTCTCCCGGGCATGGCGAGACAAAACCAATAAAACACATTACAAACGAGGCATTTGTTGCATCCAGTGGGGACATAATTACTAATTATAATGACTTATACTGTGTTTTTACGCGTTGTGTATCGCGCCGCGTAAACATAAAACCATGTCTGCATTTGTGATCGGAGAAACGACAAACAACAAGCGCTTCTCGCGTTTGAATCGTCAGTGGCAAATTCTTTAAATATAAAAAATTTACTTACAGGCTGTGAGTCAGAAGCGCCAGACTGTCCTTGCAAAGTTGGAACTGCCCCACTTTTTAGAACAGCCTTTGAGCACAAACCCATTGTATGCTACTCTGCAGGTTCAGGAACAGTCTTCCATAAAATGTGTCACACAGCATCACACACGGCGGGCTTTGAACATTTGGGTGGCGTTATGTAAATCTTCCCACATTGTGACGTAGACATGTGGGGGCATGTTAGAATGAGCCGTTTTAGGTAGGTGTGGTTGACTCTTAACTTTTATAAAGAATATCTCTTTGGATTTCAGACTTTAGTCTTTGCAAATTTACAGATCTTCTTTATGCACCAAGAGCTTGTAACACTTCAAAGAGAAAGGAAAAATTGAAATCGCATCATATGACCCCTTTAAGTTCCCTCTGTAAGCTTGCTGAGGCCCCCTGGTTGAGAACCACTGCCCTAAAACAATTTCAAACCAGCCATTCTATTGAATTGCATCATAAAACAGCTGGCTTTTAAATAGATCAAAGTGTGTATGAGGTTTGTGCCTCTGCATTGCACAACCCTAAAGTCAATCCCCTTGTCCTTCAGTCCTCCCTCAGCTGGGTGAAGTCCAGTTGTATGGCACAATTAATAAATGTGAAAGCTGGAGGACC